CACTAAACCTATTTGTTAACAGCGTAAAAATCTTAGGATCAGAGAAATATATGCAACTTCTTTCCCACAAAATTGTACACCTTATTTAATAAAATAAATTTCAACGTCGATATTTGATTAACATAAACTTCCGTAGCAAGCTATCTACTCAAATCGAAACCGAAACACAAGTCCAAATATGCAGTTTTAACGCTCCTACTTATAGAAGTAATAATATATTGTTTCATGAGTTAAGTACATTCAACGTTAATAACGTAAACCCAGTAATATCCCATGAGGTTAGGCAGCTTAAGAGAATTAGGTTTTTTTAAATTCATATATAAGCTACCGATGAAAAATCATATGTATCATAGTAAATCAACAGATATATTAAATATTCAAACAAATACTGTCAACAAAAGCAAACGCTAAAAATAAAATAAAGTAACTCTTACTTTTGGATCATATAAACTATAGTTTTTCAATACTATATACTAACCAACACTGCAAAAATTATCTTTATAATAGAAATACGATTGGAGTCTATGTTTTTAGTGTTTTGATTTAGACGTTCTGCACTGTTTACTAGAGGGAGTATTGATAATGATGTAGTGATGTGTGACGATAAGAGAATTGTGTCTATATCTGACAGGATGTCTCGAATATTTTCGGGAAAGTAATGCAATAATACAAAAACACCAGAGAGAGAGAGAGTTGTTAATTATCAAGTTATTCAATGAATCATTTAGTTAGTGAGTGAGTCTGTTACAGTGTTGTTGTCTATCGATTATTAAGTTAGCAAGTGTGTTAGCCAGCCAGTTTTGAGTTTGTGTCATAGATACGATAATAAATTTAACAAATAAGTAACTATTTAGTTTTATGTGCAAGTTAGGCCTATCGCTCGGTGAGATTGTAGAGCTTGTGATAAAATCAAACGCCTTACTTATCGTTAAGTAGATTAAAGTTTGCATTATATTTTACCAATCAATTAAAAAGAACCGTCATAAAAGTACAAAAATAAGTTAAAAAGTAATACATTCAATCACGATCCTGCACATTTTATGCCACAAAAATGTTAACTAACAGTTTTAGATTAATACTTTAAACAAATGCCCTTGAAAAAAAGAACTTCGCACCATGTGAATATGCAGAATGGGATAACATATTGTTACGTCTCTGTTCGTTTGTTAATTTCCCGTAAAAATTCTTTCTGAAGAACTTCAGGGATACACGTCCTTTCTTAAATAAAACTAGTTTATTCTTTCTCAATACAAATTTGCGATACACTTAATTTCCACAGTCACTTTAACTGAAACACTCGCTATAATTAACAACGATTCACGCACCTTACTTACGGCTTGACTCGATTATTTGTCTCTATATCTCCCTATCTGCAATTCTCTATGCCGTCACTTTATTTGCCAGCTTATATACTAAAATAGAGGGCGCCTAGAAAAGACTAGAGTTGCCAGGAAAAGTCATAATCCTTCTAGAAACTCGTGATGTGTTACCAGCGTCACGTGACTTCCGCTGTAGTAACAATATCTAAATGTTTTATAAAGACATTATTTCAAGCAGAAAATTAAAGACCCCTATAGTGTACACTATACTTATCAATACTTTAGACCATCTGTCTGTCCTATATTACCCCCAGTGGCTTAGCGGTAAGTATGAAGGCTTATAACGCTAAAAAAAACTAGTGGTGGGCATAGCACTGATAGCCCAATGTGTAGCTTTGTGTTTCAAAACAAACAAATAAAAAAGCCTATGCTATATTAAAATAATTGGATAAATTGAGCATGGGGTTGGGATCATTCGTAGTTAACTTTCTTATGTGACCGACAAAAGTGAAAATGAAAAGATAATGTAATTATATGTTCATCTCTGAGAAATGTATCTAATATCTGTACAGAAACAAACGAATAAAATAGGAGTAAGAATACATTTTCATCTGATACTAGGAAACGTATGTTATGATAAGCTCTTAGGTTTATGTTATAAATGAATCATTTAATTACAGATACAACTGCAAACTCGCTGTTTTGTTGTTAAGCGCAAAGGTACACAATGGGCTATTTGTGCCTTGCCAACCACGGATATCGAAACCCAGTTTTTAGCGTTATAAGCCTTCAGACTTACCGCTAAACCACTGGGGAGCTATATACATTAAGAACAATCTTCCTTTCAAGAAACAAATATATAATATTACATTAAAAGTGGTTAGCAGAAAGATAATTTCTCTTGGCATCTTTGTTGCTAAACGTAGTTAACTGATTTCTAGAGAACTTGTAAGGACAGGCCATGCCGTCACGGGGGACACTGTATTGAGAAAACGCCTGATCTACGTGACTCTAATGGGTTTAGATGTGACTGCGGGTTCGGGTTCAGTGGACCAACTTGTGAAATGCGTAAGTTTATTATCTATTTTGATAGAGATTAATCTATATCCTAAAACGTACGTATGAAAATAAAAATATTTTGCCTTAAGAAATATAAACATACTGTAATGTGAAGTAATATGATACACATATCTTTCTATACATTAATAGTTAACGTTGTTAGTTCAGCCACAGAAGCTTCTCTTGAAACAAACATTGTAAAGGAACAATATACATTAGTGGAATGATGTTTACAGTAATTGAACGAAATATTTTTACTATCTATAAACCTATTCTGTGTTGAGGAAACTGACAAAGAGTACAAGTGTGTTATACATAAAGTGTAGGATGTAATACTATTGAAAGTTTCAACTAAATCTATTCTGTGTTGAGGAAGGTGATAAAAAGTGTGCTATATATAACCTATAGGATGTAATACTATGGAAAGTTTCAACTAAATCTATTCTGTGTTGAGGAAGGTGATAAAAAGCGTGCTGTATATAACCTATAGGATGTAATACTATGGAAAGTTTCAAATAAACCTAGAAAAGATTAAACTATTTTGTCATTAAGAAGTTTTTCTCTCAATTAAAACGTTTTGATGTCGAAAATTTGCGACGAACCGATCTTTTTTTATTTCAAGACTTTAGAACTCTGTTTCCTTTTTGTTGATGTTGTTGTTTTCCACCAGGAAAGCTTGATGTAGAAAGTTCATATTGACAAAATGCTGTTTTGTCCATTTATCTGTTTCACTCTTATAAAGTTAAGGAAAAAAAGACCACAACTTTAGTTTGAAAACTAGAAAATATAAATATGAAGTATATATGTTCTGATTAATTTCCTTTATTTAAAGGTAACTAACCAGTAGGGACTCCAGAGCATAAGTCTTTCAGCTTAAATATCAAGAATGTAACGCTGTTCCAGAGCATAAGTCTTTCAGCTTAAATATTAAGAATGTAACGCTGTTCCAGGGCATAAGTCTTTCAGCTTAAATATTAAGAATGTAACGCTGTTCCAGAGCATAAGTCTTTCAGCTTAAATATTAAGAATGTAACGCTGTTCCAGAGCATAAGTCTTTCAGCTTAAATATTAAGGATGTAACGCTGTTCGTACACCTTCAGAAATATACTATATACTCATGTCTTTCAGCCATTCCACCTTATGTACCATTCGGAAACTCTTTCTTCAAGTTGTCCGACTCTAAGATGATGTGGAATCAGTCGAAAGCAGCATGTGAGGAAGAAGGGGCTCATCTAGCTGTAGTTCCCGACTCCGCCACCAACGACTTCCTGAAACACCTAATCAACACCACGTACGAAGGTTTTCCATCCAGTCATTGGATCGGCGTTAAACGTTTGAAAGAGTGTAACTATACTACTATCCATGGGTTTACTGACTGGGCTCCGGGCCAACCTGTCTGTAACTACGACTGTGTCCACTTATGGTCAGCCTCGAACTTGATGTGGGACGACACTGACTGCAAGCATCTGTTCAACTATATTTGTGAAATCACATTTTTTTAATATTAAGCTGGCTGTTCTATCATTTCAAAAGTGTATGGTCGTCCTTCAATCAGAAAAACAGATTAAACAGCTAAAGAACTACTGGGTTTCTTGGTTATTTTTCTAACAGATTTTAACATAAAACAAGAGAGGTGGCCTTTTAAAACACCACTGCTTTACGTTTATTAGCAAAGTATTTTATGTACCAAGTAAATATCACAAAATAGATCAAAAAATGATAAATGATTTCCCTGAAAGAATTTTTTCGATAGACAAAAGTGAAATTTGAAAGGACAGAAAATGCAACAAAAACACAAGTTTATTGTATGTTCTCAACGCATGTAGCTATTTACAAGACAGTATTTAATAATATCCAACTTGTATTAAGTTTATGTAGTGTTAAAAGATAATTCTAACATAACATTTTCTAGTCAAAAAATTTAATATATATTATAGAATTGTTTTTGAGGATGCCTCAATAATTATGTAACAAACTTCAAGTTTAACACCTGCGTTATTGTCTTATACCGTGTCACTAGTTATTCAGTGTTATTGTTTTATACCGTGTCACTAGTTATTCTGTGTTATTGTTTTATAACATGTCACTAGTTATTCTGTGTTATTATCTTATACCGTGTCACTAGTTATTCTGCGTTATTGTCTTATACCGTGTCACTAGTTATTCAGTGTTATTGTTTTATACCGTGTCACTAGTTATTCTGTGTTATTGTCTTATACCGTGTCACTAGTTATTCTGTGTTATTATCTTATACCGTGTCACTAGTTATTCTGTGTTATTGTCTTATACCGTGTCACTAGTTATTCTGTATTATTGTCTTATACCGTGTCACTAGTTATTCTGTGTTATTGTCTTATACCGTGTCACTAGTTATTCTGTGTTATTGTTTTATATCATGTCACTGAATATTCTGTGTTATTGTTTTCTATCATGTCACTGGATATTCTGTGTTATTGTTTTATACGTGTCACTAGTTATTCTGTATTATTGTTTCATAACGTGTCACTAGTTGTTCTGTGTTATTGTTTCAAAACGTGTAACTAGTTGTTCTGTGTTATTGTTTCAAAACGTGTAACTAGTTGTTCTGTGTTATTGTTTCAAAACGTGTAGCTGTGTTATTTTTTCATATCCTGTCACTAGTTATTCTGCGTTATTATTTCATACAGTATCACTGGTTATTCTGTGTTGTTCTCTTATACCGTGTCATTGATTGTTCTGTTTTATTGTTTCATACCGTGTCACTGGTTATTCTGTGTCATTGTTTCATACCGTGTCACTAGTTATTCCGTGTAATTGTTTTATATCATGTCACTGGATATTCTGTGTTATTGTTTTATACTGTGTCACTAGTTATTCTGTGTTATTGTTTCATAACGTGTCACTAGTTATTCTGTGTTATTGTTTTAAAACGCGTAACTGTGTTATTTTTTTCATATCCTGTCACTAGTTATTCTGCGTTATTATTTCATACCGTGTCGCTAGTTATTCTGTGTTGTTCTCTTATACCGTGTCATTGATTGTTCTGTTTTATTGTTTCATACCGTGTCACTGGTTATTATGTGTTATTGTTTTATACCGTGTTGCTAGTTATTCTGTATTATTGTTCCATACCTTGTTCCTGGTTATCCTGTGTTATTATTTCATACCCTATCACTAATTATTCTGTGTTATTGTTTTATACCGGGTCACTGGTTATTCTGTGTTGCTGTTTCATACCTTGTCACTGGTTATTTTGTGTTATAATTTTATACCGTATCACTAACTATTCTGTGTTATCGTTTTATACCGGATTACTGGTTATTCTGTGTTGCTGTTTCATACCTTGTCACTGGATATTCTGTGTTATTGTTTCATACCGTATTACGTTACGTATGACAACTTCTAATAGCCTAAAACTGAGTTAAAATTTGCTGATATATCTCCAATTTATGATATTTGCCAACAAGATTGATATACACACAGTTTTCTTTTTTAATACGAATATGTTGTAATATACAAACAGCAATATAATTTACAATAACAGTTATTACAAATAGTTATTACAAACAATGATTTATATACAAAAGGTTCACAAACTAACAAGCAATATAAAGTCTTCTTTCTAGTCTGGAACTTCATTGATATCTTATCGAGGGTCGACGATGAGCGAGTTAATTTCGAGTTGACGTAGGTATAATTCACTTCACAGGAAACTAGCTAGCCCTGTAGTTCTCACTGCTCACACACCTATTACAGGTCGAGTTTCCATGGATGACGTTAAGCAATGTTTTCGTAAAAGTACTAATGTTCGATGTGAATCCACTAAAGTTAAATAGTTTGTAATTTTCGAAATTTATAAATGTTCCTCGTCAAATATCTCAAGTTTTTCGATTAATAAGCATTATAACAATCACAGTTATAGCTTATGAAGTTTATAGAACCCCATTTACAGCAACCCAATAATAGATACCGTTTTTTGGCGCGTCGCGTTGGTTATATTTATAGGCGTGTAGAGAGTTTCTCGAAAATTCAGATTACGTAAAAACACTAACACGCTACACTAGAGTTTACGTACACACGTATATTGTTGATTCTTACGTTCGAGAATCTTCTACAACTATAGAGAATAGGCGTGAGTTTCGCAATACAAATTTAACAGTATAAGTTATGTACATTTGTAAATATAAATTTATTTCAGGCAAACTTCGATATTAAAATAAATATATAATAATAAATCCGTCACAACCGTATCACTAGTTATTCTGTATTATTGTTTCATTCCTTGTCACTGGTTATCCTGTGTTATTGTTTCATACGGTATCACTAGTTATTCTGTGTTATTGTTTCATACGGTATCACTAGTTATTCTGTGTTATTCCTTTATACCGTGTCATTAATTATTCTGTGTTATTGTTTTATACTTTGTCACTGGTTATTTTGTGTTATTGTTGTTTCACGCCGTGTCACTGGTTTTTCTGTGTTATTGTTTCACGCCATATCACTAGTTATTCTGTGTTATTGTTTTATATCGTGTCAATGATTATTGTGTGTTATTGTTTTATACCGTGTCACTGGTAATTCTGTGTTATTGTTTTATCCCGTGCCACTGGTTATTCTGTATTCTTCTTTTATACCTTGTCACTGGTTATTTTGTGTTATTGTTTCATACTGTGTCAGTAGCTATTCTGTGTTATTGTTTCATGCCGTATCACTAGTTATTCTGTGTTATTGTTTTACATCGTGTCAATGATTATTGTGTATTATTGTTTTATACTTTGTCACTACTTATTTTGTGTTATTGTTTTATACCGTGTCACTGGTAATTCTGTGTTATTGTTTTATACTTTGTCACTACTTATTTTGTGTTATTGTTTTATACCGTGTCACTGGTAATTCTGTGTTATTGTTTTATCCCGTGCCACTGGTTATTCTATGTTATTGTTTTATATCATTTCACTAGTTATTCTGTGTTATTGTTTCATACCGTGTCACTAGTTATTATGTGTTATTGTTATATACCGTGTCCCTAGTTATTATGTGTTACTGTTTCTTACCTTCTCACGGATTATTTTGTGTGATTTTTTTATACCGTAACACTAGTTATTCTGTGTTAATTGATTTAAACCAGTAGCGTACAGTAACAGGATAAAACAATAACATGGCATCATCAGTGACATAATATAAAACAATAACACAAAATAACCAGTGATACGGTATAAAATAATAACAGAATAACTAGTGATACGGTATAAAACAATAACACAGATTAACCAGTGACACGGGATAAAACAATAACGTAAAATTACCAGTGACATGGTATAAAACAATAACACAGAATAATCTGTAAGAAGTATGAAAAAGTAACACATAATAATAAATGGCACGGTATAAAACAATAAAAAAGTACCAACGACACGTTATAAAACAAGAAATACCATCGACACGGTATAAACAAGGTTCTGTATTCTTGTTTTATAACCTGTCGATGGTAGTTCTGTTCTTATTTTATACAGTGTAGATGGTAGTTCTGTTCTTGTTTTATAACTTGTCGATGGTAGTTTTGTAAATAGAACTAACATCTACACGGAATAAAACAAGAATACAAATTCTTGTTTTATACTGTGTCGATAGTAGTTCTTCTGTATTTTTGATTTACACCGTGTAGTTGGTAACTGTGCCTTTCTAGGCTGGTCTTTATATATTTTCTCTGACATATTTCATAATACAACAAAATTATTTATTTCTGCAAATTATCTCAGTTTATCTCAGGATATCAGTTTATCTCACTTAAACACCAACTGGGTTCGGAT